TTTTTTTTTTTTTTTTTTTTTTTGGGAGAGAGAGGACAGGGAACTCAACCAAATCATACAACTGAGAGACCCCAAACCAACTGTCCCCACCCTAGTACTTTGATCTTTCTTGCCACTTCTGAGCGAACCACTCTGTTCCAGAGGAAAGGTGGTCTAACCCTTCATTTTTAATTGTGTGCATCCTCCTGTACAACTGGATTACATACCTTTTTTTCCATTCCGACTGCTATTATCTGAGTTTATTGCCTATCCAAAAAATCCTGGTACTGTTAAAGATGATAGCAATTTTTAAATGGCAAAAATGGACAGAATTTTGAATTTGCTGATTTTGCAGTGGTGTGTGTTAGAACAAAATATTGGTACACAGCATTTTCAGGTCAACAGTCCTGTAAAACACAAGGTAGAATGAAAACAAACAAACAATCCTGCTTGTGTAGGACTTCTGTTGGCAAGTGCTGCTCCTGAAATTATGCATTCTGTTGCTACTTACAAATAGAATAATATATTTGAATGATGTATTTAAGGGCTTTTTTTTCAGTAGTCCTTGGATCACATTTGGCCGTCAAAAAGATTGCTGTTGACTGTACAGTTAGTGAGTAGATTAAAAATACACAACAAGGTTTTCTGAATGTGTCTAGAAAATAAGTTAAATAATCCTGTCTTCTAAAGAGATTAAGGGTCTCAAGGGATGGAAAGGAGAAAGAGAGTAGATAAGAAGGCAAATAACATGAGTCAAATTCAAGGTTACTGTCAACTTCTAACCTGAGCAAGATAAATCCTTTTGCTCTGAGGGCTTGTCCATGTGCCAAAGCTAAGCTACCTGCTAAATGATGCTAAAGCTTGAAGTGTTCAGAGGAAAGGATCGGGAAGGAGATATTTAAAAATTCTGGAGAAAAGAGGTCAAGTTAAGTTGGTATCAGTTGTCTTGCACTGAGATAGCTAAAAATGGAACTCGTCCCTGTGTGAGCTATTGTGGTGCAGTTAGGATTTTGTGTTGGGGGGGGGTTATTTATTTGCTGTTGGTTTGGTTTGGTTTTGATCCTTTTATAGCAGGTCATTGTCCCATGCCACTACTGGAATCAAGAACAGAATATTATCTTGATACCTGCAAGAACTGTGCTTTATTTTGCATTGAAATGCTTCTCTCCCATGTCATCTTAGTCAGCTGTGTTGATTTCTGGAGCCCAACACATCCCTGTAGCTTGAGTAGCCCAACACATCCTCCACATGAGGACTAGTTTGTGCCACATACTGAGTCTGGAAAATATGCTCATGAATACTAATGAAGTACACGGGAAATTTTTTTCATCTTTGGCTCTAGTGTTCAGCATGCCATTAATACAACCTAACTATGGATGCTAAAACAGTAAGGGTCAGTTGTATCCTTCAATATAAGTGCAAAAGTGTGTGTGTATAGTTACCCTGTGTCCTCAAAACATGTTGATATGAAAAATTGGTTGGAGAGAAGGAAGGGGAGTGTTGTTTCCGTATACCTCTTGGAGGCTGAGTCTCTGCATAAGCAAAAAGTTAACACACTGGCTTCTAGCTGCCTGTGTCAAAGTGAATCACTCTTTACCACATAATAGAAGTACAGACACATAAATATGCAGAGTTGAAACTCTGGATTACACACTGGAGTTTGTATAAAATTTAAATTAGAGGTCTCAGTAAAAAACCTAATTTTTGCTTTATTTCCCTGGGTTTTATTGATGAGATATGTGTTATTATAGTGTAATTTGTGAAATATTAAGCATGCGTGTGGACCCAGGAATTCATGGGTAACTGAACAATTGCCTAAATCAGATGTTGAAGATTGTGAATATCAAATTATAGTTTGGTGAAACTCCCTGTAGTCTTCAAGATTGAGTTTAAAACAAATGCCTTAACCTGCTGTTATGTGGGAGGGTTATGACAATAATTATCAAGCTGCTCTACACCTTACGCAGGTATTTTGAGGAGTCTTGTCAAAATATCAGCTAAATTAATGCCAAAAATGCAATAATTCAGGTGAGCAATAAAAAAGTTTTCAAATGGAAGTATTTAAAATCTATCCATCCAGTTAGACATATTTACAGTCATCACACTTCTTAGTTGTACAAGCTGAATTTCCAGTGTTCACTCATGAGACTTCACTTGCATCTAAGCTGAAGAGAAAGAAAAGGTGGTTCTTCCTTTGCCTTGCCTTCTTAGAAGGAAGCGACTGTGAAGGTCTCTCAAATGCTAGAAAGTATTGTATATCTCACAGGAGAGCGTTCCATGTCTACGATATTTTTTTTTGCCTTTTTATGTAATGTCAGCTACATCTCTATACATCTCGACATCAGTGTGAGTAGTAAGGAAAACTGTATTTTGTCCAAAAACGTTTTGATATTTTCGGAATACTGGCTTGATATATGACTCAAGCCTGAAACAAAACATTCTTGAACAGGTTTGTGTCAGCGCTTCCTCTCCCCTCTCTCTCCTTTTCCTCCTCCCTCCTGCTTTCCCCCCTGGTTTTGTATGACCTCCCCTTTCCAGTCTTTGAGTGTGGCCTCCTCCTGTGTCAGTGTGAGCCGGGTGCACTCATACAAAACATGGGATGTGCCTCCTCTGTAGCGGTCCTGAGTATTGATGGTCCTTGAGCAGAAGTCCTGATCCATTTCTTTCTACACCTCTGAATATCAGCTGATAGCCAGCTGTCAAGGTTTAACACGACCAAGACTGCAACAAGCAAAGCTTGCGGAGTTGCCAGCTCATGTCCATAATTTTTTTTTCGCTTTGGTGTGAGAGTTTCTGAAATGTCAGAGGGAACAAAAAGAAGGTTTTTGGAAGTGAAGAAAAAGAGGAATCTCAAAAAAAAACCTGGATGCTTCCGCAGGAATGTTTTGAAGTTTAATTCTCTTCAATCTAGGCCATTTTCGCTTGAAAGGCGCTGTAGACCGTAGCAATTAGGAATGGCACAGACATACTCAGGTCATCTCTTTTCTGTCTCCTCATTGTAATGGATGCATTTCTGCAACAGAAGCTTCTTTAGCAGCTAAATTTAGAATTCTGCTGAATTTAGTGTGAAGATAAAGTACCGGCGTTTGCTAGCTCATTAGTTAAGCTCCATAACACGTCTATCCATTTAGGTATTAGTGGGTTTTTAAAATCCCAGTAAAGAAAGTGCAAAAAATTGGGCTTTCTTTCTCATCTGGTGCTTCAGGTTTATGCAGATCTATCCAACTAGCCATTGACCATGAAAGCAGTGTAAATATTTTATTAGGCTTTTGTTTGGAGGTGACTTTTAATTAGTAATGCTCCATAATTGCAAAATGTTATGATCCAAAGGAATTTTCAAGAACCCTGGGGAATGTTAAGATAGGCTTGTTAAGTCTAGGTTGTTTTAAGAAAGGAAGGGTAGAGAGTGTAACATTTGCGAGATGAGTTGTGCTGCATGGTTTCAAAAGCTAAGAAGGCTGAATGAATAGGCAATAAAAGAAGTAGGTGTTAAGGATAAAGTGCCATTCAAAGCTTTTGTTCTGCACCTCTTCTGCTATCTTGCAACTCAAGCACTTCTCTTTTGTCCAGGTTTGTTCTCTGTCCAAGAATATGTTTCAGGGGTGAACTTGTGATAAGAAAGGCATAGTATTACATAAGATACCTCACACGAAGAAGATTAGCATCACATATTCTTTGCAAAAGTAAATATTATCAAATGAAATTACTTTCTTTGTGATTTACCATGCTGATTTCAGGTACTGGGTTTTTTGCATTATATACTTCTTTGGGTATAAATATTATTTAAAGTGTTAAAAACAGAAGACGTGAGTTTGTTTTAAAGCATGTGGGTTATATCTAAATAACACATCTGCATTATGTACTTATACTATTCTTAGTCCAATATCTGCTTGTATGCTTTTTAATCACTGACCCAGGTTTAAATTTCGTCAGTGCACCATTCCACTTTCCTACATTTTGGGGCCAGAGAGTTCAGAGGGGGTTATTGCAGTTCAGCCACCCTTGCCTCACGTAGTGGCGTAGCCTTGCTGCTGTGCCAGCTGGCAGCTCCGTGCTCTCAGGTGTGCTCGTAGCATAACTGCGGCTGGGACCTTGCTGCTTGCATGGAGGCTGGGGGTAGAAAAGCCACAGTCTGCAGCAGGCACAAGTTACAACTGTCAGTTGATTGACATGGATGCTAGGCAGTAAAGGCGGTTCCTCCCCTTCTCTTCCTTCCCCTCTAGGGCTGGAGGGCTCAAGTCAAAACATTTCCTCCTTGAGTGGCAGCAGCTGATAGTTGTTAAATTTTGGCAATTTCTTCCAAATTGTGGGAGCTGCTGTGATCTAGCAACACCTGCAGTTCAGGGGAACGAGACAGTGCAAAGTGAGTGTTTTGTGCTGATGAGGGTGAAGCCTCAGCCGGCAGGCTCCCTGCCACTTGAAGGTCCTCCCAAGAACAACGCTGCAGGGGAGTAGCACTCTGAATTAAAAAGTCACCAGCAAAAGTAGAACTGTGATTGTGACGCATCACTCTGTTTCAATCACTGAATATTTATATGTGTTATCAGAAAATTTTAAATGAGTAACTTTATGTTCTAAGCTAGGAGACAATTGCGTTTACTGTATTGTTATTTTATCCCTATGGAACAGTTGTTTATCTTATGTTTAACTTGTCCCTGTATAGCTGAAATCCTACTTATGACTATATAAAGACTTATGTGAAGTGAATTATTGGTGATCGTCTATGAACTGGTAACACTCTTACTGCTCTAGTTGTTAAATTCAAAACCATTACCAACCCAGTACAAACATTTTCCATCTATTTCCAGAATATTCAAGAATATTCTTGAATACTTATTATTCTTTTTGTTTGCTTATATATATATATATGCATGTGTATACACATACTTTGTTATATGTTGTAATGAAATATTGATAAGCATTTTCACTGGGCTGATATAATCGATATACCGGATTTATATACTTGAGTTGGAAAATCAAAAAAATATTGCCTAATAATTTTCCTTATCTCTCTTCTACAGTCATAATGAACGAAAAGTAACCTGCAAGCATCCAGTAACAGGACAGCCATCACAGGACAACTGTATTTTTGTTGTGAATGAACAGTAAGTGGCATCTGTTTCAGTCTATAAAATACGTGTTTTAAAACTTGTTAATACTGAAGTAAGATTCAGGGTTTGCTGATTGCAGTATTTAATTTCTTATTTCCAAGTCAGGTTAGCACGTATAATGTTTTACTTATTTAAATTATTTGAAGTAAAATATTTAATACTACTTTTTAAGACAAAAACCATAGCCCAAATTTGCTATATGCTAGAAATGCACCATGTTTATGCACTGTGTGAATTTCCAGTTGTCACTTGAGTTATTCTGTAGTGTCAGCAAATGACCTATATATTATATAATAATCCAATAAACTTCCAAAAAGGAATAAGTTTTTTTTAATCACTTAGGGACAATCATGTGCCTTTAATCTATCATGTTTTGCCTGATAGTTTCCCTTCCATCGGTTATTTTCTTGGGCAGTTGAGACAATTTCTGAATCAGTGGATAATAACTTGGTTTTGCTATCTTTGTATTAGCTTTGTAGAATACACAATAATATGAGAAGGTATGCATGGAAGTCATACCTAACCTCAAGATTTCATATGTGGCTGGGTATTGAGTGTCCTACTTACCACCATTTCTGCAACACGTTATATGGTGGCTAAAGTGAAAACCGTCAGGACTGCAATATGTGAAATTTCATAACCATGCATGTTCTCACTGAAGTAGGACAAAGCCATATGGGGTCTTTGGACAGCATTTCTTCCCATTTCCATCTCATGTTCATACCTGTCTTTTTCCCTTCCATCAACACCTTAAGCTAATAGAGCAATCCTATTTTAAAACGACGTCTTAAAATTCATCTATAAGAGATTTAAGTTTAAAACACAATGAAGTGTGAATTGCTTTCAAATTGGAAAAGTAGGACACGGGCTGTATTAGGCTACATCTAGGGGTGCTTTTTAATAGCACTCTGCACACACAGCATGTTCTAGTGCTATTACATATTCTATTTTCAGGACTGCTGCAGCAATGACATCTGAAGAAAAGAAGGAGCGACCAGTAAGCATGATATGTGAAGCAACTAACTATAATCTGACATCAGATTATGCTGCTCATCCAATGAGCCCTGTGGGCAGAGTAAGTCTTTATGTCCAAATTAAATTAAAATTAAAATTGTTCAGTTATTCCACAAGGTACTAGACAGTGCTATATATTAGTATTCCATTGAAAAAGAGAAACAAAGCACGTACCTTTTTGAGGGCACTTGGCTTCTTTCATGTTTAATTTGGAAACTGAGGTGTCTGAAACAAATTATCACTGAAGCTGTAATTTTTTTTCAAGTATCTCAGATCTTATGACTTGCACATACTTAAATTGTTTACAGAATCTGACCTTTCTAATCAGTGTGAACTAGCAAAATCTTGAGTGACTGATCAGACATCTGGGTAAGCATTGTTATAGAAATTGCTCAATCCCGTACAACTGACTCTATTTCTCCAGGTAAAACAGAGAGAATTGTAACTATGTGTAAGAAGTAATTACAAGGGAGATGGAACGTGACCCTGTGGTAAAATTAAAGGGCAGATGACACGATTTGTTGTCATTGGACCAGAAGTAGAAGTCCTGGTTTCTTAGGAAAATTCCTGGGAACAGTCCTGGAGATTTCTACATCACCTTAATTTGTGTCCCGTTTCCTCCATTCACCCAGCTTCTCACAAGGTTAAGGTAAATGCCCAGGTGTTTATCAAGGTGATAGTTCAATTATATGAACTTTACATTTATTGGATAAAGCTGATGAGGCTATGGCGTGCATTTTTTTCCATTTTCTGGACAGCTTTCTTGAAAGTGCACTTGCTACAAAATTTAAAATTTCCTTAAGTTTGCTAGGACACCAAGATAACAACTTTGATCAATGATGACAGACAAGAGCTCTGTAATCTTTTCTACCCAGCAGTTAACATTTAAACAAGTAAAAAAAAAAAAGCACCATACTTTTGCTAGTCATTGAAAACTTCAACCCTGAGAAGTGCTTTTTGGTAGATTAATCCAGCCCGTAAGAGAAAAATAAACTTCGGAATGTGTTCTAACTGAGCAAATTCCTTAATTTCAGAAGCTTGGATTGAAATAATTTATTTTCCATGTGGTAGGAAACATTGTAAGGTTTCTTTAAGTGCATTTTGGAAACCTTTTTTTGTTGCTTTAAATGTCTCATTAGACAGGCAGAATCCTTGACCTACATTAGAAAACTATTATTTAATGAGAAAAGTGTCTTTATCTGTGTTGCTGGGGGGAAAAAAAAAAGAGGAGTCACAGATGAATTATAAACAGTAACAAAATCCATAATTACAACTTTCATATGATCATGTTTAAGTCCATGCAGGAAAGCCAATTTAAAACAAAACAAAACAACCCCACCAACAACAACCAGAAAAACCCAAACCCCAAACCAGCTAAGCCCTAAACCAACCAAGCAAGCAAAAAACCCAAGATAACTTATTGTTAGAGCTGTAATAGTGATGTAGATTTCAATAGTTACAACAGAACTAGCCAGGAAGTGCTCCCAGGTTAAACGTAGGAAATTAATTACAATTTAGGAGCATGTGTTTTACAAACGTATTTGTCACACACCACTTTCAAAAGAGAAGTTTAATGCCCTTTATGCTGATTGTTTCATAGTGTTCTGGAAGGAAATTGAGATTGCTGTGGCCCAGTTATTGTAATTTCTTTACTTTTATTGATTAATGACACTTTAACTTCCTGTGGAAGTTGTTATATTTTGAAGAAATAGACTTTTCTACTTTTCATTCCTCCTGTCTGTTCCAGTTATTTAAGTGCACTTAATATTAATATGCTTAATGTGACTGTATGTGCAATTACTGTACATCAGTTTTCAGACGTAAATTTGTCTGAATTGCTGCAACACCATTTTAAAAGTTGTGGTTTTGGGAGATGGATGCTTGCAAACTAGAACCACAGATAACATTAGTCAGCATTTTCTGGTGGTTATTTAAGGCTAATGAGTTGAATTGTTTTTAAAGATAACTATATAGAAATCGCCCACTGGTTGTATGTGGATACAACAACTAACTTTCTTCTATGTTTTTATTGTTCATATTTCCCAGCATTAGAAGCTGAAATTCTTAGCTGCCTTATCAGCCTTTGGATATAATATGTACAGGCTCTGTGTATTGCTGCACAATAAAAGAGAAGTAAAATATGGGTGAGGAAAGTAAATTACAGAGCAGAAGAATGCTTCATGTGGTTGCCACACCTGTATTTTAGGTGTTTCTGTTTTCAGAGATAATTCATGAACACACCTAATATTGGAAGGTAATGAGGAATGGAAGGAAGTTTGTGGTACAATAGAGTTTCAGACAGTTGAGGGGCATAGAAAGAAGTTCTCCCTTTCATTAATGTTAATTGATCCCAAATAGGCATGGAACTTGGATAAGTCTCTATTTTGTGGCAGAAGGACTCATTGGAGTCTAATGCTGCTGCTATCTAGAGGCTAATATGAGGTGAGGCAAAAATCAATCTCTCCACAGTAAAAGTCTTATTTCTAATCCTCCCTTCCCACTATATGTATGATGCTGGACAAATAACACCCTACTGCTCTGTTAAGTACTGCTTCTTCCCTATTAGCTTGAAGTGTATTTCTAAACTTGAAGCTACTAGCACAGATGTCTGACTGTGAAAAAGATCTACATAAGCTTGAGATTGCTACAGAGGTATATATTTCCACCTCTCTTTTTAAAATGAAGTTGTTTTTGTAGTTGTCTTCCTTTTTATGTTTGTTTTTTTTTTTTTTTCCCCTGATGTTAAAATCACTACCTAGACAAATATATATGATTATATGTCCTGAAATGCATTCAGGGAATCAGCTTTTTTAGTGTGTAAAATCAGTCATATTACCAGTCACCCTCCACAGTTCATCTCCCCTGCTCTTCATTGCTGTCCTGATTATCAGCAGAATAACACTAACAATTTTCTTGCAGTAAGTGGAATAGAGTGTTAGCCCAGGACAGCTGCTGCAGAGCTCCCGTGTTTCCATTACAGCTAGGACGCATCAAATTGTTTAAAAACATTCATCAGTTTGTTTATAGATATTTCGTACAGTGCTTAAGCCAGTCCAGCTTTAAATGGCTAGTTCAGGTATAGCCATGCATGTCTTCTCAGGATTCAGGTTAGCTAGAAATTTTGGAGTAATAGTCATGAGATACAGTAGCAGACAGCATAGTGAAGAGGAGCAATGTGAAGGGCAGTATTGGTGCTCATGACCAAACATCTGTACTGTGTTTTCATGATTTACATTCACACTAGTCCAGCAGTGTCCCTTGTGCATCTTACATTGTAGTCTTATCCAAAATAAATCCAATTTGCTCTACTATGCAAACCAAAGCACAGTAAGAGTGAGCTTTGGGGAGATTTACTTCAAGAGCAACCTCCTGGTCCAAGTTAAAATGCTGAGGCAGAAACCCACTCAGCTCATGGAAGACTGCAACATTTGGAAGGCACTGAAATTGCCTACAAAATCCAGAAGGCAGCATCATGTTGGTTTGTGGTTTGGAAGATAATGTAAGCCTTGAAGACTGGAAACATATTTTTAAATGGAAGTTGAAAGTAACAAAGATTTAGGTTTCCGTTCTTTGAGTTCACATGCAGAAAATTTCCTTATCAGCAAGGTTCTCAACCCATGTTTTTCAAATATAGATGCAATAAGTTTAGTGTTAATTAAGTACTTTTGTGCTAGTTCTGAAACTGGGGAAGAGGCCTCGCAGAAATTCTGTCCCCTCTACCAGCTAAGCAGAGAGAAGAGCAGCTTGCAGTGTGATGAAGTGTGCAGCCCCAACTACTGACTGATCTGTTGCCCAGAGTTCAAAACCCTGCCAGTGTTTGTTTTCTTCAGGTTTGGGAAAGAG